TACGGATCTTTCAGGTGGAAGTGCCGGACGCACTTGATTGATTTTATTTTACTTCGCAAGTTCAAACGGGTTCCTGGCCCAGTTATATGAAAGCGAAGGGTAGAATTTACCAAAATCCAAATGAGCAACAGCATAGGCAATATTATCATAGAAGTGGAGTACTATGCGAGCGAGAATACTGAGAAGAAAGGAACATGTCAAAGCCTGACGAAACACAACCTATTTCAGGCATACATAAGGAAGGCAGGCTAGCTTAAAATCTTGCAATCTGGATACGGTGGGCACCTCTCTAGGCAAACTGTTCCACAGCAATGCTCCTGCGGTGGCGAATCTCGGTGTGGCCAAACGAGATTCGCCACCGCAGGAGCATTGCTGTGGAACAGTTTGCCTAGAGAGGTGCGCACCGTATCCAGATTGCAAGATTTTAAGCTAGCCTGCCTTCCTTATGTATGCCTGAAATAGGTTGTGTTTCGTCAGGCTTTGACATGTTCCTTTCTTCTCAGTATTCTCGCTCGCATGGTACTCCACTTCTATGATAATATTGCCTATGCTGTTGCTCATTAGGATTTTGGCAAATTCTACCCTTCGCTTTCATATAACTGGGCCAGGAACCCGTTTGAACTTGCGCAGTAAAATAAAATCAATCAAGTGCGTCCGGCAGTTCGTCAGGAAAGACATCGGAATACTCACGGAGCAAGTCAGCAACTTCGGGATTGTTAGAGTTGGGGATACTCAGAGGTGGATCAAGACCGGACTCGTCCTCAGCTGTGACCCATGCTAGGAATCCTTGTTCGCCGTTTCTGAGCGCATGACTAGCCTGACAGCCAGAAATGAACATGTTTTCGATTTGCGAGTCTCCGTCCTTGTCCTGAGAAGGTGCACTTGGCAGGCCATTCCCGTCCACGATTATTTCGTTGGTCCGGAAATTGATTCGTGGGTTGTTCCTAGTCAACCAGGGCTTGCCCAATATCGCGTCGTAGCGGGCGAGGGGAAAGACGGTAAACTGCTGTTTCTCCTTGGAGTCGCTGACAACAACATCTATGGCGTTCGTGGTCTCCATAGCGTGTGAGCTCGTTTTTCCATCCGCTAATGTGACTTTCAGTAATTCTGATCCCAACTCTGTTGGCACCTTGTGTCTTCGGACGAACACCTCACAAATGAAGTCGTGGGTTGATCCACAGTCGATCAACACTGTCGCTGGACGGCCGTACAGTTTGTCTTCCACCTGTAGTAGCTCGTTCTCTTTTTCAGCGACGACACTGCCGACGTGCGCTTCGCGGCTCTTCTTAACATGTTTTTGGAATCAACACAACTAGTAGCGGTAGCAGCAGCAACATCCGCGGCAGGCTCATCTTCTCCGCAATCGATTTCGTCAACCAATAAGTCACTGAAGCGATTCTTCGTGGCGATTGGAGCGGCAGTGGGACAGGGTGGTGCTCTTCTCAGCGCCAGTGATCGCACCGCTGTCACTGGCGTCCAGCGTTTGGGTGGTGGTGAACTCGCGGGCAATCTCGGGCTAAATGTCCCTGCTGTCGGCAAGCGAAACATCTGCCAGCACTCATCAAGCGATTACGGTCTTCTGACGATAGTCTGGTTGGTCTTCGGATATTTGGCGATCCTGCAGCTATGCCATCTGGTTGGTGTCGATTCTCGGCCGTTACGGTCAGTGCTGTTTGTATAGCCTTCGACAGTGTTGTCGGATGCTCCTTAAGTACTTCACGCCTCAAATGGCCCCCGAGTCCGTTGACAAACAGCAGGGCGCGCGAGTGTTCGTCTAACTCAGGTACCTGCAGGCTGAGACGATTAAAGTCAGTGATAAATGATGCAACGGTGTCCTTCTGACGAGCACTAACTAAATTCAACCGATTTTGCTCATTGCTGAAATGCGGGCCATACACACTTCCTAGTGCATCCCTTAGCGTGGGCCAGTTGATGTAGTGTTCCCCAGCCTCCATGTTCGAAATAAGCCATAGGCGGGCATTGCCCACAAGAAAACTCGAGACATAAGTAACTTCTTCCTCCTTTGTCGCAAATCCTATGGCTTTTATAGCTAAGTCCATGCTAAATACCCACTCCCGAAACAAATCTGCCTCACCGTGAAATGCTGGGGGCTCCTTGACATGGCGCTTGGTAATATTATCGCGAGGGTGTTCTCTGGTGCTTAGCCCTGGGCTGGATGGAACTTGAAATGGTCTTGCAGGAGTTGGAGTGATGGCGGCCACGAGTCGTCGCAACTCTTGTAGAGCCAGGTACGCTGTCACGGCGATGACAGTCAGCAGGAGCGGAAGGCCAGTACTAGGTAGTCAGGTCGATGGAAATCATCCTCTCTGCTACCAGTGTAACCGGCTACTGCGGGTTGAGGAAAAGAATGATCTTTATTCGTACTGCACAGGGTTATATATGATGTAAAGGGGATTTGCGATTGGAGGATACATACCGGATGGGTGCATGCTTGTCCACGACAGCCAAGAACTTGGTGTGCCACGACGCCCACATGGTGTCCACATCCCGCGTGTTAGTAAAATCATCCAGCCCTGCGGAGCTGACATCCCGACGGAATTCGCAGATGTTCACCGACCGAGTATTTCTCTGAGCTCGGACCCGCTCTACTGCCTGAGGTGACACGCTGCGAGAAACCTGAAGGTGCTGGTTAGCCCCAATCCCAAAGTGGTCGCTAATGGTCAAAGGCAGGACGTGGCACTCACTGATGTCTTGACTAGCTAAAAGAATGCGATCGATAGTTGTACCAGATGGGCACGCCGGTGAGATACGAGTCGGAGCATGAACGTGATTAGTGAGGCCGTAGCAGTTGCAAAGTTCGAGAAATTTCCGGGCTATAGGACAAGGTTGGTAGGGGGTTGAAACATTAACGTTAAAATCGCCAATGACTGTGATGCTTGGGTTGTCCACGAAAGCCCTGTGCAACTGCTCTTCAAAATTCTGCCAGTACAAGATGGGCTCGTCAGGTGGCCGATAAAAGCACCCAACTAGTTGTCGCCTTCGTCGCCCTTTGAATTCGATGCAGGACGATTCAATGTTAGCGTCGGAAAGCTCTGGGCGCGGTTTTACCTGAAGTCCGGAACGGAAATAAAAGCATACACCGCCACCTCTGCGCACAGGACGATCGTGCTGTATCACACAGAAACCTGATACATGTATATCAATATCACTGTCTGACGTTGAGCTATCAAGCCAGGTTTCTGCGACACCAAATATGTCAAAGTTGTATTGCTGTAGGATATCGGCGACCTCAGCTACTTTGTTTCGAAGACTACAAACATTCAAAAAGCCCAGTCTTATGAAGGACTGTGTCAGTGGGGTAATTTGGTGAGCAGGGGCGGCAGAGGCAGAAGGGTTATTCTGGGTACAAGAGCCATGAGCACTGGGACCTGGGATGTCAGCGCCAGCCCCAGGGGAGAGATGTCGACTGTGTACACTAGTAGTTAACTTGGAGAGGAAAAATACAGCTAAAGAAATTGTGTTCTGATGATCTATCATTACTAATAAGACATTATAGTTCTAACAGTTCTTACGGTTTTCATGCTTCTACAGAAAGGTTGCTGAAGCGAGATCCAGAAACACTCTCTTTTCCCCGCTTTCCCTTCTTTCCTTGAGCTGCCACGCAAGGTTCTGTGGATTTACTGGTTGGCGATGACTCATGGCGTTTTCCACGACGTAGGGGAGGCACTTCTACAAACTTCTTCATCCAGTCGTGGTCAGCGGCATCACTCAGGAGTTTGTTGATTCGAAGGTCCTGGGAGGCAGACAGGGACTTATCCTCCGATTGGTGAACAGGTTCCTCGGGTGGTGAATAGGCTTGGTCAGAAGCGCACTTGTCCAAGCACGGTTTGTCCGATTCATTGGCAGGTTCAACAGTCCCATGCTCAACAACTGGAAGAAATTGTGTCAAACAAGGCTTCTGGCTAGTAGGGTTTTCATCGTGTTGTTCAGTCTGAGAGTTGTTGTCGGTGGATTTCGAAGAAGGCTCCGTGGCAATGGACATACTCGCAGAGCTGGAAGTACTCGCCAGCTGAGAGTCTTTAAAGACCGGTGCCTCAGCGTTGGATGTACACAACTCCGACAGTACGTCAGGTGAGGGGGTCTCCCATCGCCTGGTGTGCGCTGAAGGCATCCGTTGTTTCCGGACTGGGCATGCACTGGCCAAGTGAGCAGGGGAGTCGCAGATGCGGCACGTAGTAGTAGTAGTAGTAGTATTATTTTATTATTTGACTAGGGGAGTCCCAACAGGCATGGCCTTGTTACAGGGAACCCTAGGTGAATCTTTGTGAGGTGAGCAAAAGTACCAGCAGATTGTGCCTGACGACAGTTTGGAGGAAGAGTGTTCCACCGACCTGCCGCCAGAAAAGAAACTGAGCGCAGTCCATACCCAATATGTACAGTAGGTAATACTAAGGCAGCTGTATCCTGGCCACGAGTACGAGCATTTGTGTGCGGGCCAACTGAACGCAGGAGAAACAGTGACTGAAGGAGGGGGCTAGTAATTGATGACAAGCAGCGATAGACCAAAACGTATAGTTCCAAATTAACTCGTTGCTCAAACGAATACAGATGACACCGTTGTAAAACTAATGCAGTTGGGATCGTTCTATCTAAACCAAATGCCTTCTTCATCGCAATATGGCTGACCGTTACAAGCCTGTTATATAGGGTAGTTTTCAAACAGTGCACATACGCATTACTTGCATATTCTAGAGTAGACTGTATAATTGACAAGAAGAAAGTTCTCCGAGCTGTAGCTGATAAATTGCGACGGCCATGAGCAAAACATGCTAGTTTAGCGAAGACCACTGAACACACCTTTTCTACTTGTGGGCGGAACGTTAGATGCTCATCGATTAGTATACCGACGCCCCGGTTTTTAGGGTTAAATCGCATTACGTCATTGATGACGTCATGTGTAAAACGCTCCGATTTTATGTTAAATCGCAAAAATTTACCGTAAATCGCAAAAATGTACCGTAAATCGCAAAAAAATAGGGTTAAAACGCCCCGGTTTTTAGGGTTAAATCGCTATGACGTCATCGATGACGTCAGTGATATGGTACACGCCTAATGCTTTCTACTATCGTTTTTATCAAAATCAAAATATTTGCCGGGTTGGAAGGTGGGATCAAAATTATCATCATTATCATCATCATCATCATTATCACTGTGCTCGTATTGATTGGGAGAGAGCGGCGCCCGCATCCATCACTTCGACAGTTTGCAATCAAATTTCCATTTTAAGACGGACAACCTATAGCTTTTAGTATTACACCGTCGAATAGATGCGGATCTCACCGGATGATTGCAAAAATGGCATCCCTATGCCAACAGCGACGTTTGAAATATTGAGCTTGAAGTGTGTTGTCAAAGATGCAGACGGTGTTTGTATCAAATGCAACCCAAAAACAGTGCAATGCAAACCATAAACTGGTCAATGCCAAACAAAAAAAGTTAGTGAACCCAAGTCAAAAACACAAAGCTGTGGCACATAGCGTATTCCCTACCTACTGGCGCTACTTGCCGTCGTGACATGACATGAATTAAGAGACAGTGGCACAGAGCCTAGTCCCTACCTATTTGCTACACAGCACATTGGTCAGTGTTCTTCAAGGAGTTCATGTTTTCCTAGTAGGACTACTTAAAGTAGGATGGAAATCGGTCATTTGAAGTCGTAGTATGTGTTATCCTTCCTGAGATTTGGCTTTCTGGCCTTCTTGTTAGGATCCGCACGGAATGATCTCTCTAGCTGGTCTGTTCTGTGCGCTCCCCTCTGGTATGCTCCGAAGACAGTTGACATTGTCTTGGAGAGTGAAGCAGCGTCGACCGTATCATCAAATACTCATGGTTGCGAGACTAGAGTAGGCTGCTTGCCGTCCAGAGCGAGAAACAGCTGCTTGATGAGGTCTTTGGACACGTTGCTCTTCAGCTCCAGGCCAGTTTCCTGCCAGTGAGCAAGGCTCTCTTTCAGCTCGGCTGTCACCTGGTCACGGATAGCTGGATGACAGTTTTTGACTTGCATCGACATCAGTTGAAGAAGTATGTTGGCATGGTCGACAGTCTGAAATACAAAGTGAGAAAAGGGAAAAGGAGAAAGAAGTAAATGGTTTTACTGAGACTTTCATACTAGGAGTAAGACAGCAACTATTGCACAGTGCTACATCCATACCTACAGTCGGACCCAAATTTAGCCTTGGTAAGAATCAGTGATCAGGGATGGGCCCCACTAGTATGGAAAGTACGGCATTGTCTGTAACCGTTTCTCGAAAGCTCTCATTGATTCGCATGGAATGTCTAGCGTGCAAGTTACTACCCTTAGTTGTACAAGAAAATGGCTCAGATGGCTACTACAAGACGGTGGCTCATGCTCGCACACTACCGTATATGGCTGGGTCCATCTATCATAATCTATTGCTGTGGCGGTGGAATGGAGGCTAAATTGGGGACAATTGTTACATGGCCTAAGGCTGCCACTTTCTAAGCTTAAAAGAGAGGGCGAGGGAAAGAAAATGCACAGTCAATTTACCTACACTGTCACGCGGCAGCCATTTAAAATCTAACAAAGCAGGGAATGCAACTGAATGCTGTCTATTAAAGTTGGAAACATTTGAAGGAAAACAATTTACGGTTCGTGCTGTGATCAGTTGGACTACATGTAGTTGTTGGTTTTTTGCGCGTTTGTAGGAACGCCACAATGCCACCACCCACAAATTAAGGCTTGGGACTTGGAATAGCAGATAGCTAAAAATTTCATAAGTGGCGGCTTACACTTTTGACAGAAATGGCTTCTAGTCTGGTCCAGCTGTCAAGCATTTTTTCTGCTCCCAGTGAGAGTGGAATCTGCTTCCTCTCAAGCTGCTCTGGGTACTCCAGCCGCTCCAAGATTTCCAACGCCCAGGTTGACTGCTCGAACTCATCAACAACCATTTGCTTGCTGGCTTGGAGCATATTTTGCCGTTGCTTCAGTGCTTGAACGGACAATTGCGCCCGTCCATGCTCGGCCTGGGATTCTTTCACTTGTGTGTGAGTATCAGCGCTCCAATTATCCTGTCTGGCTGCATACTCCTCAGTAGGTGTGGATACATGCTTGTCCACATGATCAGCGGTATCCATACTCCTGCTATCAGCAGGGATAGGGATACTGTGAAGATCGGAAGTAGCAGAACCTGTGGTATGTGGAGAAACAAAAGGAGCCCAGGAAGTGTATTTATCTGCAGGATGGTCGATCTCCATAATAGATTCTCTGCACACTACACTTTGGAACACCATTACCGGCATGTGCTGCAATCTCCAACACATCACTTTTCACTCACAGATCAACGGTCCATTACATGGGGCAATGGTTTACTAGAGCAATCACATTCACGACAAACTTCAACTACAACAGGGAAAACAAAGACCACGAAGGCAGGTTTTATGGAGTTGCGCAGAACAAGAGCAGCTACTTGAAAAAAAATTGTGAGTGAAAAATACGTTTTTTGCACTCTTTCGCTATGCTCAGTCAGGAGTCGCAGAATTTACTGTGACTGACTATGATTGACAGCATGATATTTGTGTTCAGAAGGTGGCAGGAAATCTGTGTTTGAGTTTATGACTCGTACTTTGAGTTTCATGCTAAAGGCTCAGACAACGGAAAACTCTAACATAAGCAACAAACAGAGACATTTGACTCCTTTATTCAGCACAGCGATCACATGATTACTACGTAACTATACTCTAGCTATGGCCACCGATAAGTGCTATGGCAGGGGCATCGGACACAGTATGGTCACTACGGTATTGACAGTACCACTTTTGGACCCAGTCACCCCGTAAATCAATAAAATACTGTATGGCAGGAAATTTTCGGACGGAAATATTTCCGGACAAAGCCAAAATTACACCTTTCATACGGATTTTATTTTCGGACAGTGCTGCATGCTAAATGCACGTGTTCGCAAGCAGTACGCATGTACAGTGTACATAGTTTCACATGAACAATTTTGAGTACGGAATTAATTTTAGTACAAAAGAGGCCGTGTACGAAATCGTACGGAAATAAATTCCGTCGGAAAATTTCCTGCTATACAGTACACTGATCTGGGATTTCAATGTCCACATTTTTTGGCTCAGTAACCACACTTCCACGAGTAAACTGTACTTCAGATGGCTTTACCACACTAAAATACCTTCCGGCGCCCCTGTATGGTATAATAATGATCTGCTTTGCAACTACTGACTGCGAATAACAAGTGCCGGAAGTTTGTGTGGAATGCTCTACCGTTGCATTCTTCCCATCTGGCTTCATTTTCCAGGTAATCATAGATTTTTCGAAAAAAGGTCTTTGAAATAGCGAGGTTTTGCATTCCGAAATTCGGCAAAAAGATTCGGCACGAGGGAGCGAGGTCGAAAATGCACACGAAGATTCGGCATGATTGTTCGGAAAAAGCTCACTTTGCCGAACATATTTTTCGGATGAATTTTCTTGTTGAAGAGCGCTAGCGCGTGATTTATTCAAAGATGTTTCTTATCTCGGCATGGCTTCGCAGGCGTCTTTGGCGACATCAGCATCGTCAGCTACCTCTGATTGCTCCTCTCCACTGCCTGTCTACTCTCTTTCGCCTGGAGTGTCCTCACCGTCATTTGTGTGGCTGAAAAGACTATGGCGATACGCATAAAATTTGACTTGGCCATGGAGTTGGTTTTTCTGAGGCGACTGAGGAGGCAGGTTTGGCCCTCGACTCTTTAGGCGATCAAAATTTGTCGGAATCAGCAAGAAAAGGAGCACAGGACAGGACGTTGCTGATGCTGGGGCTCACGAAATGGAAACACATCATTTTCGACTTGCAAAACAAACGTTGGTGCGAAAATTCGACATTTTGATGTTCGACAAATGCCCGAAGAACGCCGAGCCGAAATTCGGAATGCAAAACCTCACTAATAGCAGTGAAAGGATCAAAACATTGACAAATGCCATTTTTCTCGCATTTCGTACTGATGATACGATTCGTAGTTCTACTTTTACGGAATGTGCTCACCATAATGGGGAAAAGCGATTCCGATACGCCATCTAAGTGCTCAATGGACAGTCCACGAGGAGAATGTCGACAAGCACGACACGTAGCCCTCCGCCGCGATCCCAGGGCCAGGTAGAATATTGCACGTCAGTAGACCAGTAGATTTACTATACCAGTGATAGGTTTCCGGGATGTGGTTGTCTCACACGTTTGACCATTGATATTAAACAATTATTGAATACAATAACGATGCTTCAACCGCCTTTCTGCATACATTATTCCTGAATGAGCACATGGATAACTGGTATTAGTATTGGGGACAGAACACGATATCAGGACATGTTAATTATCGTGCTTCTGTTTGTAGTATACTTCGAAAGGTAGCATAATGTAAATCTACATTGTACTTTGACACTGTAATTAACTACTACTATCATTACCTGTCGCGCGTCGCGGTCGAGGCATTTTTCTAACAGGAAAACCGCAAGACGTGTTGGCAGACACGCAGATATAAATGTCGACGTCGTTTGCACGTTTGCATCTTACGAGCGCAACTCTAGGCCAGGTCATGCATGCCCTCTTTGCTTGTCCTGGCCTCGCACGGGTCTGTGCTAGCTCTGCATGACATTCACAGACCCAGTCAAAATGATGACTGCAAGTGTGCACGTCAAAGCGGAGTGGAGCTGTCAATGTGTTTCGGAGCCTGGTGGCTGCAGGCCGTGGCTGTTATGTGGCTCATGAGTCATGAGGCGAAGGGATCTACATGTACACGAAAACACCTCATACGCAATATACAATGTACGACCACTGCGTTGACGACTCCGCCGTTGACTGACATGTCAATGGAATATTTTCCTGCTTTCTCTCTCACGCCACCAGTTCCATGATTCAACATGAAGATCTGCCTGAACTAACTAACTATTTACTTTGTGGATCTACCGACATGGCGGGTTTGGTTCATTCGACACAGCTATGCAATACTGACCTGGACAGATACATGTTATCACATTCTAGAGCTACTAGATCTACGAACAAACTGGCTGCTTATTTTCAATCATTGCCGACCCTGAACACCGCTGTGCGTGCGCTGCTGAGCGGGCGACTTTCGACACAAAGCCACTGACCGCATGTGGACGTACCGGGCCGGATGCCTACTCGTGGAAAAAGGCGGCGGAGTGGAGACGCAGGCTGCAAGGGCAAGTAGGATCTGGGCCGCGCGGCTGTATCAGTGTATGGAACTACTTTGCTTGTCTCATGAACTCAGCCCGCCAAACCCTAAGCTTGTTACTTCATACCAGGCGTAGCGGGTTTATGTAGACTAGCGTGTTTAGCGGCTGGGCATCGACGAAGTACATGTAGTTGAACCACATCCCCATGTTGCTTCGAGCCATTTTCAGTTGTGGAGCAGAGCTGCAAGTGTCAACTAACTGGCCTTCGCGATTGGATTTTTGCATTTTAATATGAAGACATGCCGTTGTGCTACAATCTTGTAGTGCGGGTGGATCTCTTGAAAGACAATCAGCTTGTGTTCTTCCCGCAACGGCCAGTTCCGCGAAGCCAGGAGGATCACGAGGCAGAGGGCGGAATTCCTCCCACGGCTCCGACTAGTCCGACTTGCAACAGCTCGCTAAGAGAGATCGAATGTCAAGCTAGCGACCAGGGACCACTCGAGTTTCTCGCACCGGACCCTCCGCAGCAGCGGCGCGTTGCAGACGTCAAGGATCTTGCTGGGCTCAACACAAGCTCAACTGACAACACCGTTGCAGCCACCAGAGCTCTACCTCCGGAAGTCTCGTATCCTGCTTCGCTTCCAGTAGATCTACGACATAGCCAGAGTCACAAGTGGAGAACACGCGATCACGCGTGTCCTACTGCGAAGAGTGAGAGTCTTCATCAGCAGACAAGATCGCAGTCCCGCAGTAAGTGAATAAAACCAGGTGATGCAGTGCAGTAGCATGCTCGCAGCACACCAGAAGTTACATGGCCGGACGGGGTAGGAAAGGCGGCAGTAGTGCATTAAAACCTGTTACTAAAGACCGCTGTTACCATGGTTACTAAAGACCGCTGTGACTAGAATACTCATAACTGTGACTAGCGACCAGCCTTTGCTGCTGTAGCACACATTTCATTGGCCTACTCACAGCTCAGCAGAATGATGAGGGTTACCTTCCCCGATTTAGGCCGCGGTCACACATGCACTTTTTTTGGCGGTTCCGCCAAAGCTTACCTTACGCTTCCGCCGTTGCCTCAGCAACGGTGGAGGCGTAAGTTACGCTTTGGCGGAAAGTTTGGATTTCGCTACGCGAGAAAAATGCGAGCGAAACCACCTCTTTCGCGGATCCGCTTTGGCGGAACCTGCATGGTGATGGCTTTGGAGTTTGATGTGCTACTTCTGCACTGAGCTCTGGTGTTGTTTGGTTGCCGTTTGGTATTCAGTTTTCATATTGTTCTTCTTTGCCTATGAACTGTACGTTCTGGAGATCTCGCAAACAACACTGCATCGTTATGAGTGGACAGTTGGTGAGGGAATCCGTCTCCCAACTCATGGGCCCCGATCGCGGACGATCTCCAACTCTCTCCTTCTCTCTCCAAGCAATGCTTCCACCAGAGTATGCAGTGCAGCAGCATGCTCGCAGCACAGGACAAGCAGGGACCTTACACTGGATAGATCTTCAAAAAAGCACACTGTTACTCCCTGATCTATGACCATTATTTGGGGGGGGGGGGGTAAACCCCTTATAACTCCCCCCCCCCCCCCCCCCCCAATCAGAGAGGATCTTGAAGTTTGTGCTGCAGGAGCACTAAAACACATAACAGTGTATGGTGTTCCAACGGCCCAAACATCACTAGGGGTACAGTGTACGGCGCTGATACACTTCCAGCGTAGCAAACACCTCGTGAGCACAAAGGCGGCAATATGAGTTAGTGTTGCACATGGAGTTGTGAGGAAAGACGCAGATAGCCATTGACCATTCGCATTAAAGGGGAAGTTAAGTCAAAAATTAAAATTTCACCAGTTGTAGTCTTCGGGGTGCTGAGTCGAATGGTCTTGGTCCGAGAAAGCTCAGACGCTCCCTTCCTACTTGAATCCCAATCGAACTCGCGCACTTCCACCGAAACTGGGTGACTGCGCCCTACTAGATGGGGATTTGTATGCAAAATGTCACTAAAAGCGTCATTTCGTTCTTATAAAAGCACGGATGACCGCGATTGGCCCATATGTTGTAGTCTTTTGGACGCTGAGTCGACTGGTTTTGGTCCGAAAAGGCTGCGATGCAGCGTTCCTCCTTTATTCCCAATCGAACATTGTTGAACAAGCGGTCACGTGCTCCTTGGTGCTCAAATCAACTGGTCGCCACGCCAGCAGGCGACAACTTTCACACCAAGGTTCAACTCGAGTGACAGGACTGCACCCAAAAGAGGTCAAACAGGCTAGTAAGTTGTACCCTGCAGGCACGGTGACCAGGTGACTGGCATACGCAGGAGCACGTGACCGCTTGTTCAACCATGTTCGATTGGGAATAAAGGAGGAACGCTGCATCGCAGCCTTTTCGGACCAAAACCAGTCGACTCAGCGTCTAAAAGACTACAACACATGGGCCAATCGCGGTCATCCGTGCTTTTATAAGAACGAAATGGCGCTTTTAGTGACATTTTGCATACAAATCCCCATCTAGTAGGGCGCAGTCACCCAGTTTCAGTGGAAGTGCGCGAGTTCGATTGGGATTCAAGTAGGAAGGGAGCGTCTCAGCTTCCTCGGACCACTACCATTCGACTCAGCACCCCGAAGACTACAACTGGTGAAATTTTAATTTTTGCCTTAACTTCCCCTTTAACCATCTAGTTACATGGCCGGTCGGGGTGGGAGAGGCGGCAGTAGTACATGTAGTTTGATGATACATCTTTGCAAATCTCCAATGGCCCAGAGTATCTGTTCTCGCAACTCCACGTACCACACTGACTCACATAATTTTAGTGAATTTAGGGCGATAGTGCCGGTTCGAATCCCATGTCATGTTTTCGAAAAAATTGGAGAAATGAAAAATTATAACATCGCTATGCATTTTTGATTAGGTCATCAAGGTTACGGTGTTGCATTTTCGCACTATCGTTCGAATCGTTTTGGGTGTGCAGCAAATTGGCCGGGAATGTAAGGATCGGATAAATTGCAGTGTTTTAATGCGCGCGGTTGTATAAATAGTAGAACGTTGAGATCATTACAGAGCATCAGCAAGTCGAATTTTCGAGTGAAATTCGAGAATCGTCACGAAAGGCACTCAACAAGTCGAAACTAGGGCTTTGTTCGACTGTAAAAGGCCCGCGAACCGAAAATTAGTTTCGAGTCCAGCTCGCGCACTCCATGTAAAGAGAAGTGGTGTTGTACAGAGCTGCAGTACTGATGGAGCGGTAATCTCCTGCACAGCGCTCCAGTACACGGAGCAGTTGTTCACGGCGAAGTCGTGACCTAGCCAAGGTAGCCACAAACAATTGTTACTTTTCTAGCAGAGCCTTGCTAGAGCGAAATCGGCTGATGACAGTCTCTTCATCGAGATCAGCCAAAGAGATCTGTTCGCCAATGGCTTTAACCGGATGAAGGCTACGTCGCTTTGTGTCATCCTCAACGGCCGCGAGAAACACCAGCAACTCCCGGAGTCTCCATTCGGTCCAGGTGACCTTCAGCAAAGAGGAGAAGCGAGTCCAACAAATCGAATTGCTATGCTACTATAATCATGAGTTATGTCCTCTTGCAACAACCACGGTCATTGCGCATCTCAAAATGTTTACTTCTCAGGCTCGAAAGGAACTCTCGAATAGCGGAGTCGAAAATGCTGCTGCATGCTGAACCTCTTTTTCATTCGAATTTTCGACTTGTTTTTCGTTTTGACACGCGCGTAATTGAATCGAAAATTCGACTTGCTGATGCTCCGTAATAACAGAGGACTATGAGAACGAGCAAAATGACAGGGGTGACAATGTTGAAGCTCTGAGCAGACGGTGTGGCAAGAGTGCCTACACAGAGATTAGAAGATGGGATAAGAGAGGTCAAGAGACCGCTGAACAGGTATCCAGTCGGCAGGAGAAAAGAAGTGATCATGCCCGAACTTGTTCGGTGTGCGGTGACTGCGGTCCGTAGGCATAGGGCCGAAATGTATGCAACCTATGCCGCTGTGCAAAATACGTTACTTAAACATCTGGCGCTAGCCATAGTCCACAACGCTTTGATTCGTGTTAATAGTTGATCTGTATCATTGTAAAAGAAAGCTGGCCACCTTATTCAAATAGGGGCTTCAACAGCAAGATCATAACGCGAAGCCACTTGGAAGAATGTGTATGTGAAGCGTACCGGGGAATGCATGCAGGGCAATAGTGCGGGTTCGAATCCCAGGTTAGACCAAGCCAGGGAATACATGTACTTCATGATCGTCCTGTTTTTCGGAAAAAATGGGGAGGGCGGGCGAATTCTTATTTGTTATCATTGTGAAAAGAATTCGGGTGGACACACCCATTCCCATAGCGCTGCATATCACATCCGAACCAGTTCCGTTATTTTACAACGTTTCGGCACTTGGCCATCATCAGGTAATAACAATGAATACAGCGGATCGACATGTTTGGGCTGAGTGTGAGCGGGGTACGGAATCTGCTGCTGTTTGTTCTCAGCCACAACTATTTCAGATTCGGCCATCAGATCTATCACCAAGTGGACGGGGTTGCAATGGGTAACAATCTTGCACCCCCATTTGCGATTCTATTCATGCATACGGTTGAGGCCAGGCTTCTGCAGGATTCTCCGTTAGTACCGCTCCTCTACAAACGCTACATCGACGATATCCTGCTGCTATGGACCCACGGCAGAGAGAGCTTGATGCGGTTTGTGCAGCATTTCAACTCTGCACACCCAAGTATCAACTTCACATATGAGCTCAGCGAGGTGAGTGGCTCCATAAATTATATGGATATCACAATTATGATCCAGGAAGGCAAGCTGGCATACAAGCTGTACCAGAAGGCATGTGCTAGTGGTCTACTCATTGATTATACTTCGGCAGTTCCCCACCATATCAAATTGGCAGTTGCTTCGTCACAATTCCTAAGAGCTCAGAGGCTCTCATCGAATACCAGAATGCGTGCAGAAAGTGAAACGATGGTTCATGAGCAATTAAGATTGAACAATTACCCAGAGAAAATCATTGAAGAGGCACGCACTGCCTCCATAAGGCCAAAGCGTCGTCGCCATGCCAACCCATGCTGCGCATTTCTAAAGCTTCCATATAAGTCAGATAAAGTACATCAAGCAGTGAATAAAGCAATCAGAAAGTATAAAATTCCGGTTAGAGTCGTATATGAGCACACTGGTAGCCTGAGGCGCACATTGTGTCGCTCCGCCCTCGTTCCTCCTCTATGTGTCAAGGCTGCAAATCCGCTACAACCGAAAAAGAGAGGTCGCCCAAAGGGGCCATGTATCTCGTGTATATCCGGGGGACAGGATGTATGTATGCAGAAGAATGTTGTATATCAGCTGAAGTGCAAAGAATGTCCGGAACAATATGTTGGTGAGACTGGCCGCTTTCTGGAAACTCGCCTGGAAGAACATAATGGTGAGGCAAGACGCCAGGAACTCGACAAGCCATGGGGCCAACATTTTCGCACCACTCACCCTGGATGTAAGCTTAACTATGGGCAAAGTGCATTCTCTGCAGTTGAAGTAATAGGAAGAGAGCCTGATCGAGCCCGTCGAAAACTGCGCGAGGCGATTGAGATTCGTGATGCCAAGCCCCATGTGAACATAAGCACCGGATGGGATTTGTTGTGAATTTTCTCAGCTTCCCCTGCTGCTACTTCAATATCACTGAATAATTATAATATGAGGCGGGTCACTCAAAACCATTCTATTCCTGATGCCTCGTCGCGTCCCTGGTGGTAACAGTTTGGCATGGAAGTTTTAACCTCATAGTGCATTGACTCATGGGGCTCCGTGCTCCCCTCCTAGATCCTGTGCTAGAATTAACACCATTATTATTTGGCATGTACCCTCACTTCGTAGAGCACAACGGCGCGCTCTTCTTCTCCGTGATGTGCACAGTTGCACCTTCTCTCTCTCCCCCCCCCCCCCCTCTGTATAGAGGTGACATAACTCGCATCATTTTATTTTTTGGCGCTACACTCTGTGCAACGCCATTCACAGAGCACAATGCGCGCTACCTTTTGCTGCTTCTCCTCCGTGATGTGCTAGTTGCGCCTTTTTCTCTCTCTCTGTCATACTAGGTGACATAATTCGCATCTTTTTTGGCGCTACACTCTGCGTATATACTGCTCTTGTGTGGCTTCCACGGTATTCATTGTTATTACCTGATGATGGCCAAGTGCCGAAACGTTGTAAAATAACGGAACTGGTTCGGATGTGATATGCAGCGCTATGGGAATGGGTGTGTCCACCCGAATTCTTTTCACAGATGAAGCTGCAGGAAGCCTCAGCCCTTCTTCAAACTTGTTATCATTGTATTGCAAAAAAAGTTTTGATCACCACACTCAAGCCTTCCCCCGCCCCCCCCCCCCCCCCTTGTCTTGTAAGTGATAGGTATTGCTTACCTCTATATGTTGCCGCCTTCATGCTGGCCGAAAACGCTGCGTACTCTGGCGACAAATATTCATCGGGAATGAGTGACTTCATCTGGTCTAGCCTGTCAATGTTCTTTGTGATGGTTAGGATTGCTTTGTACAGCTTCACAAATCCGTGGATTTCCTCGCCATGAATGATGTCCAGCAACCTAGAATTATGAGCTGGTCCTCCATCATTCTTCTTTATCCTGTCGAGTTCAGTCACCTGGTCCCTTGTCAACATATCCAGTGCCTGCAATTTCCCTGCAAGTGCAGTTGGGTCCAGCTTCTTAATCCACGGCTGAAGAGTGGTGATATACGTGCTCGATTCGAACGGATCTGGATGGGATTCAAAAGAAGGCAAAGTTTCGTTTTGAGTTATTATCCAGTTGCGCTCTTTTCCTAGTTAACCGTGGTTGGCTATAAAAACCCTGCAATCGCCACGCAAAGTGGTCATTGGCTAACCCAGCCATGTATTGCTTGGAATAAAATAAATAAATAAATAAAATTTCCCCTGGATTTACTGGACGTTAGTGGCCATTGTGAGTTACCTCGGGAACGGACACGATAATTCATGATACTTTTGATGCAATACTGTCTTTAAAAATTCTGCGAGTTCGTCCAACATAGCCATTCACGCATTACTGTGTGCCAGCACACATACCAAATTTTTACATTTTTGAGGAGAGAAAATCTCTTCAAATGCACCAAAGTTCGAGGCATGAGTGATTGTTCAGTCCGGAGACGTGTCATACCTGGAATTGTGGCGCTGGAGGAAAGGTTTGGATTGTTGCATCAAATAGACCATAGGATTTTAGTACGAGTCCTGAGACCGAGCAATGCTTACAGTGTTCGCCAAACAAACGGTATACTTCAGTATGTATTACTATAGTAAAAACTGTGACTAACGACCACCCCTTGGGGCCAGAGAAAAGCGGTTTTTAGTGACAGGTGGTCCTTAGTTAGAGGTTTGCACTGCACAACCATATACCGTATGTCAGCACCTTGAAAGCCATGGCCTTATATTCGAAACACCGCTACTTTCCTAGCTATTCTAGATATAACGACCCAGCTATTACGCCATGCCATGAAAGTCAAAGTCCACACAGAAATTTCAATCTAAACCCGCTTGTTCGCACTTCCTGCTGGGCTGTAAGAATGTTAGCATAGTACATATTCCTTCATTTTTACAAAACATACTTCAAATGTCATTTCATTTATGAAGCCCATGGCTTTATAACTGAGACTGGCTTTATAATCGAATATACCGCCATAACTTTAAAGATTCGGACATCCGGTCTGAATGTGAGACGGTCCGTGCCTGGCGAAGTGGTCTGTAGTACCAGGCTGGTCGCTAGTCACTGTGGTCTTTAGTTACAGGTTTTACTGTATCTGGAGCACTACACTCAAGCCTCCCCCCTCCCTCCCCCCCCCCCCCCTCTTCGACGTGACTATAGATCCTTGACTGAAACGTAAGAAGCGGATTTGAGCACAGCATCGTCGTCATTCCCTATGACGTCATGCGAAGGTAAAATCATGTATAGTATGCTTTGAATGCAGTGACTTAGCAGTGAGGCCCGTCACTGCATGCAAGCACCCCGAATGATGACGTAATGCCTTAACACAGTGCTGGTTCTCAGAGCAAACAGTACTGTCGGTCGCCAGAGAACTGGGAGGGGGGGGGGGGGGGGGTCAGCCTCCTAGCCTGGACCATTCCTTTTTCAAGTCTATGCCCAGTCGAGTCACTTTGTGTACATTGGTATGCTGTGCTTGGTGAACATTTAGGCTGGTCTTTCTTCGGCGCTCCGTTCTCCGTCGCCCAATACAGTAAAACCTGTAACTACAGACCACCGTGGCTAGCGAACAGCCTGCTACTACAGACCAGTTCGCCAGGCACGGATGGTCTCACATTCATAATTATTATGTTTGTGCGGTGCAAACTTCTAACTAAGGACTACCTGTCACTAAAGACCGCTTTCTCTGGCCCCAAGGGGTGGTCGTTAGTCACAGGGTTTACTGTAGTACTGTATGCAAAGCATATGAGGTGGACAAGTAAAGTTAACGTACCAGGACACGGCTTCCTCGGAGCTGCTGTGGGCTTACTGATCGGAGATGGATCTGGCTCGGCGGCACGGGGTGCTGTTGCAGCAGTATATGAAAAAAAGAAGCACACATTCCTGCTAGAACAGGGCAGCGAGGTATACCCAAATTGCCTAGTATGGCAACAAATATCTAACGTCATGCACAGTCTACTTCATCTAAAAATTGCACCCTAGGTTTTTGCCATCTGTCACACACACTAAAACACAACACAAGGACTGACAGTGTTTCAGTCACGGAGAACAGAACTTCGATCGGCGAGTGAGGTTCTGGCGACTGCGAAACTCCCGGCCACAGTGGCAACTGATGTCATGAGAGGCAGGTTTACACACGCGTACGTGCTCACACACACACACACACACACACACACACACACACACACATGCACACACACAAACGTGCACACACACACACACACACACATGCAGACACGCACACACACACATACACACACACACACACACACAAACACACACACAGCGGCAGACACGTGGGGTAGTGCATTCTCTGGTTGCGTTACGCAGAGCTCACTGACTCGTTCGTTCGAGTAATTTGCCAAGGTAGGTTCGGGCCAGGATAAAATCTGGCTTTGAAAAATTGAACAAATTGACCTTTTCAGTTTCATCCAGTTCAGCCTCATTTTCTCTGCGCTGTGCTGATGCATCCACAAAGAACGAAACAGTTTCGTCCGCCGATTTAGTATACAAGCCCCCTCTCCCTCCCCCCCCCCCCCCCCCCCCCCCCCACCCTCCCATCGGCAAACCCCTTTTCTTTCTATATTTAGTACATGTATAGTGTGTAGATTTAGTAAAAAGGAAATTTGAAAAGTGGCCGCCCCAGCACTGTGCGGCCCAAGCGCAGAGCATACCGTTTTTTCCCGTTTTTAAGTTGATCTCTGTTATAAGTCAAAGCCCCCTACTTAGAACCTTGATTTCCCGGTTTAACGGCAGATGACCCCAATTGTAAGTCGACCACCCCTTTCCTAGTTCCGTGTTTAGGTCGTAAAAGGTAATATTATACGATGCGCGGTGACAAGTGAATGCTCACACAGTAGAACATTGTACAGGTGTAATGCGTTGCACAAGCAAGTGACCTCACCAGCTACTTCTTGTTGCCAGCACATTGTGGAGCAAAGTCCCTTTAAAACTTTACTCTCCCAAGTGGATGGCCTCTTGTAACCGGATGGTATCTTGAATCACCTTCCCAGTGGTCTTCACTAAACTGTAGCAAATAATGGAAACAGAACATGAAAACAGCAAGCCATTAATCCATGATGACATGACTCATTCGAACAGTGGGACGGAAGAATATTTCTGGAGCTCTCGCATTTGGCGAACGGCAGTGGCCGTCTATCATGGCCACACCAATGTCACGGAAAGGTCGTCGGGTTTGGCAAGGACGTAGGAATGTATCCCTGAGAAAGATGTTTGGTGAACAAGACATGTCAGGGAATAATTTAACCAGTATCGCATCGCAGTTTGCTACGCAATTCCTCTGAGGTGCGAAGCAACTTCAGAAATGTGTCGCAGAAAACTGCAATGCATATTGATTTTTCACTGTACCCTATGATGCACAGTGTGTCTCTTAGGGATGAAATAGATGCACAGAGCTTCGAAAGTGTTGAGCTATGCATCCTGGCACCAGATTAGGTTTGCAACTAAGATGTTACAATGTACCTGTGGTCTGAGCTGGCACTCTGATCAGCTCTGCAGAACGTCAATGTTGTCAAGTGTTAAAAACAATTGCTACGCGACATTTTCGAATTGCTAGTCAAGTTCGATTCTGCAAAGCAAAATTGATATGCAAAAATCGAAAGTAATTTACTCCCTGCATCCCCTACGCTCTGCCCAAGTATTTGACACGGAAACAGTGTGCAGGTAACATCAATGTAGCCCCCCCCCTTCCCTCTCCTGCCCAAGGGGGGGGGGGAACAATATTATGTAAACATTGTGTAGGTAACTCCAAGACCCCCCACCCCCCCCCCCCTCCCCTCCCGTTCTGCCCAAGCCTATCCAGGGGATCCTTTACGCGAAACCCAATCCATACAATCAAAATTAATGCGCTACAGTTCTATCGTGGAAATCATCTTTCCAGTACTGGTAACTATTATTTTTGTGTTCACCTCTTTGTGCCCGGATGCATGCAGTTATGTTTAGTCAGGATCATGTGCGTCAGGCACAATCAACAACATTACTTTCTGCGACACCATGCGCAGGGGCGGCAGGTAATACTAGGGACAATCAGCAGGCGCGTGCCCCGTATGGGTTCCTGGGTGCCCGGAACTCCCCTTTTTTCTCGCTCAAAATGCAGGATTTTGCTTCATTTTTTGAAATTTTCCCGGGGACGCCCCCCCCCTTGAAGGGCACCGGCGCATGCGCCTGATCAGCGACTGTGATCCACGATTCACAAGTTTTGTATGTGTTTTTGGTCCCTGCGACATGTTGATGCATGGCAAAGTACAGCGATGAAATCCAGTCGCGCAAGTCAAGTACGCGCCGGGCGTTGCGCAGCCCAAGACCAGCGAACACCGGGCTGGGAAGAAAGGTGCAAGGCGCAAACGTGATTGACGCGACTGGATTTCATTTAGCAGCACTGGGCATGCAGTGCCTAGTACTGTAGCGGACATGGAAATCCAGTCGATTGACCGGGGTCGGCGCGTACAGCGCGTACAGAACGTTCCATGCAGACTTGCAGTGCACAGTCTAGTCATGTTGATCCGATGCGACCTGCGCGCTGCAGCGCATAAATGTGTGTACGCGTTCGTCCTGCTTACCCACGGCTGGTTGGCCGGCGCCCTGGGGCGGGCGGCTAGACGTGCGACTGGATTTCCATGTTCATGACAGTACATGGAAGTAAATTTCACATGCGCCCTCCATGGAAAAGAACTGTACAGCAACACATGGCTCCCATACATTACAGATCTTGCAATAATACTTTTCCATAATACTGGTGCCACCTATCAGGATTCACAGGCGTTTGCTTTTCTCAAAATGATGTCGAAGTCACACGGATGGCTTTGCCAACTCATGGCCTTGAGAACGAGTCAGTGTCCATGTCGCTTTTGTTAAATGATGAGAGCAAAATAATAATCGCACATTATCCAAAACATTTTTTCCATGCCCCTCTTTTCCAGTGAAGTGTGAGTGAACTCACGCTATGACTGATACCGGTATTCTAGTAACTACGATTGTACAATCATGACTTTATCACTTTCCAGCGTTCGTTTACTAGTACATGCGCGCCGTACACTTTGGGGTGGGGTAGGGGGAGGGGGGGGGGGGGGGTGATCTACCTAGCCCATTACCGCTCTCACGGTTCACACCCCGTTTCACCGGCTTTTGATGTGAGCATCTAGGGTGTGGCGGAGGTCAGTACAGCCTGGTGTCCTCAAATATCCTTTTCTTACGCTCCCTTCGATTGCTACCAGGACACAGGAAAGGTGCATCCAGCACCGGGTGCGATGGTGCACGGAAAATGCATTGTCCATCTCCTGCGATGGTGCAGGCCCCCATGCTGACCTAGTGGAGACAATAATTATAATAATTATTATCATCTTAGTCCCCTGTTCACATCCTAGGCATCCTAGGCTTGCAGACAGCGATCGCTGAATGAAAATCCCGCGCAAAGTTCGTTCAGGAAAGATAAAAAGAAACATTGCTCTGGGATCCCTGAATAGTTCTTACCGTGATGTGTTGGGGTGAGGGTCAAGCAGCGAGCAATCGCAGCCACAGGGAGCATCTAATAATCAGATTTTCCAGCAGGCGTATGGTCTGCTTGGGCAAGCGGACACCCAGTGACACACGAACCGAGAGACTCGAGCCCCTGCAGTGAAGATCCGGAAAGACTTCAACACAACGAAGTACTGCACGCAGATCAAAGTACATGTAGTCCGTTACCATGGTTACACAAACAGTTACATGCGTGCACCAGGCGAAGGACTAAAGGGACCGTCACTTAATTAATTATTTTTGCCGACTACCCGCCAAAAAAATCTTTTCGTTTCACGTGTCAGACACGTCCGCGAGCGCGTACGACTCGCTACCTTTCACGTCAAGCAATCTAGATCTGTTCACGCCACGCGCCACGTACCACATGGCTGGATAGCGCGTACATGCAAACAATCATGCATGATTGAAGACTTGCAAAATCAATTTTTACAAGTCCAGGCGCTAGGCCTAGCTAGGCAGTACTAGTCTAATGGCAGCTGACTTTATTTTCGGAGAAACACTACTCATTGTAGTAAAAACTTAAAAGTAACAATGAATAGCGATATCATCTAGGAAGGATCGCTACCCTAACGCTAAGGAAAAGGCCTTGCACGGCTGCTCTACGAAGTGTTGAAGAAAGACTCAAAGTCAGTTGGTGGACGAACAACTCGCTGGTGCCGGAAAACTTGGCCCCCAACGATGGTGTTTGGTGAATCATCATTCATCAAGCATAATGTCTTGTAGCAGTGTTCACCGAGGAAGGAGAACGCTCTAGCCGCTGCTGTTGTCCGTTTCATCCACGTTGGGCGTTAGCTGCACCGCGCCTATTGTGTTTTAGTATTCCATGGACACACATTAGCATTCAGAGCGATTGTGGAGCCACAATTAATTTACTTCACACAGCGTTGTATTGTCCACGAGCGCAAACTTCATTATCAGCAGTAACTGTTACTCTTCATCCTACGTGTAGATATGGAGTATGCACGGCCTTGTCACGACAGCGACAGCTCTACAGAGTGTTCAAGTGAGAAACATTAATTTCAATTGTTGGTGAACGAACAAATGGCTGGTTCCGAAAAACGCGGCCTGCACCGATGGTGTTCGGTGCATCATCAAACAGGGTGACCAGCGGCAGCTCTACGGAGTGTTCAAGTGAGAAACCTTTGTTTCGACTTTTGGTGGACAAACAAATCGTCGGTGCCGAAAAACGTGGCCTGCGCCGATGGTGCTTGAAACATCAAGCATGGTATATGGTGACTGTCAGTGTTCATCGAGGAAGGAGAACACTCAGGCCGTCGTCCGTTCATCCATTTCGTTAGCTGCACTAAGTCTATTGTGTCCTTGTATTCCATGGGACCCCACTCATGAAGCATGGCGTCTGACCTGTGTACACAGAGCGGGGAGATGCTCCTGCTGATATCTTATCTGTCCTGTGTATTCCCAAGGGCTCACAACGATGGTTTTGGACAAGTCAGATAAAATAGAGTCAACGGAGAAATATCACAATTGTCTCCTGTGTATTATATCCGTCTGATGTCACCAGATCGTCACTGGGTGCTGTGACCAAGATACGGGTCATGACGAACGCTGATTCAACTGGACGAATCGCAACCTGACGACGAAGAATCGCGAGGCTTTTCAGATGCAGGGACACAATGGAAACTGACCGACTTCAGAACAGCACTGAAGCGTTATGTTATCATGCAAGACGCCTTTCTGCGCCGCACAAACACAGGCGGTACTGCAGCAGAAGATGTCACTCACTATTCTGCAGGTGCACTGGTGACAGGCGCATGCAAGTTCACGAGGAGGAACCGGTCTGATGGTAACTGGAATGCCAGCAGTATGAGATCTCACCTGGACAAGAGCTGCACGAAATACACAACAGTAGCACAGCGGAAAGAATAACTGATTGAACAGAAGCGTTGCTTTGTGTGTTTGCGCACAGGGCACCGGTCAACTCAGTGCAAGGCCACCCGCAAGTGTAATGTGTGTGCATGCATGGGTCACCAATCAGGGTCACCATCATGTCACGATCTGCCCTGAATCTCAACAGAAATCTAACAGCAGTACCAACATAGTAGCTGATCATCCTGTGGCTGACGAGGTACCAGCATCTAGCGCAACAGCAGCTAGTGCAGCATCAACCAGTATCGCCATTGACCGTAAGATAGTCAGTCGTCTTGATCGGTGCAGATTTCTTCTGGGAGTTTATGACGGGGAGCACCAGAGGACTTCCGCCAGGACTACAGTTTCTGCCTACCACAGTCGGTTTTGTGGTGACTGGCCGAACACGTCACTCCAAGCACTCAGCTACGCCGATGAGCAGCCATGCCAGCTATCGTTTCTCTAACCGATGCAACTTCCGACTCCTGCACCATCCCAGATCTGTGGGACCTAGACTGCGTTGACATCCAGGATTCAGGCAATCTTACTAACAACGACCTAGCCATTAGGCAATTCATCATTGTTCTACGATTTTGCCTGCCACCAATCGTCATGACCTGCGATACTGAGAAGGCCATTTACAAATCAGTGCCAAACCCAGCATACAGAGATGCGACACGATTTCTGTGGTTCGCCAACTCCGACAGTCCATCAGTCACCCCATCCAGCCTGTTCACGCTCATAAGCAGTCCATTTCTGCTTGGCGCGTCTATACAGCATCATTTGGCACAGCAAGATGACAAAACAGCTAGCAGTGACTATTGGTGAGAACATTTTCTGCTGTGCCATTGGAGTGTGCACGATACACGAACCCTGCTCTTTTGTTGGCACCGCCTCTGTAACTTACTGCATAGGGTACAAGGTGACCGTTGTCGGTTTACATGTACTCCAGTTATTACACCGTGCATGCACTGAGTCTGTGCTGCACTGTGCATCCATAGGTGTCCATTTGCGGTAGCGCAAGGTGACACGCAAGGTTGATGTATTGTGTTGTCCGCTGCTATTCGAAGCTCTCGGAGTCGGAAGCGTTACCTCTGTTTTCCCTGTTCCTCCCTGCGCGGAGTCTGTAGTTCTGGCTTGCAGTCGCTGTTACATGCATGTTGGCAGTTGCATGTGTTTTGGTTTTCAGTTGTCTTTATTTGTTTTGTGTAGACGACAGTTCAATATTCTTTTTTTCTAGCAGTTGTTGCACTTCCTACATTCCGTAGTTATCTGCGGTTGGTATTCGAGAGAGCAAACTGTGTTCTTCTCCAGAGTGGAGTAAACCATTCGCTTGTGTCTAAGGAAAACCCTGTGTGTTGACGAAGAGGTTGACTTGGCTGTAGAGTGAAATTACCACGTGGTCGCATGGTCCACAAAATCTTAGAACTAGCTTAGGGTCTTCTGGAATATGGTATAATATGAGCAGCATGAGAGTGAAGTAAATAACTATGAGCTCAAACATTCAGTCTTTCAAGAGTAGGTGTTTCATCACGGAATAGGTACTGCAGTTCACTTACACACTGCAACAATGGACCAGCAGTGTCCGGCATACAATAGTCATGTGCATTATGTACCGTGTGTATACTCACAGCTGCAAGGCCAGCGCCCCGTGGCTGCTTGACTTCTCACTTGATATAAGTATTCACAACAGTAAGACTCTGTGATCAATCAGGGCTCTGTGAGCAGTTATGCTTGGAAGCAGTCACAAATGCCCCATGATCAGTCACAAAACTAAACTTGGCAACCAGTCACAGCTTCCACCCTGCCCCAAGACCAGTCACCAGAGATGACCATAGTAAATCTGCAGGGAGTTTCATAATCTGTTCATTGCAGAGTCCACTATACTATTATTCTAGAGGGTGGTAGCGTTCCTGCGGATGCGGAAAACTTAGCTGGAACCCGAGTGTCACGTGAACCCTGATTTTTAAGACTTTCATTATTTGTTTTACGATGAGCCTATTATACGCGATACAGGCTCAGAACACACTTTTCGTCTAGTTGGCATATCAGGGATATAGGGCGGAGCAGCCCATATCCCCAATTATGACACGCGAGTAATAGTGAAATACGATTGGCGCATTGTGCTGGACTGACTGCGGTAATGTAAAGCTAAAATCAAGCAGTCAGTTTGCCCTTGGCACGGCCTTGTCATGAGGGTGCCACATCCGTGGAAAGGCAACATGCCGGCTAATCTCCCTGAGAAGTTGAGTGGTTATCAGCAGGCGATGACGCCGTGTCGACGATGACCTGTTGATGCCCGACAGGAACCTTGCGAGGAGAGTCATTGGGCCCGACGGGTAGGTAAAGCCAACTTCCACATGAAGTTTGCGGATGGCCGACATGTAGACATGGACAGATTGGGGCTGAACAGTTCTGAACAACTCGACAGCAAAATAACTCAAAATGTAAAAAGTCATCACCTGGCAATGGATTCCAGGCATGCCCTTGACAGAACTGGAAGTAATGGGTATCGGCGGAAAAATATTTCCGACTGGTGCCAGTGCTGCTAGCTGCAGCACGGAGTCCGTCAACTGAGAGTTGGCAAGACTGGCTGATCTGGCTCAGCTGCCGCTGACGTTTCTGCTCTTGGACAGTGCAACGCCGCATGAAGATATGTTGTGGCTCCACAATCGCTGAGAACGCTAGTGTGCGTCCATGGAATACTAAAACACAATAGGCGCGGCGCAGCTAACGCCCACTTGGATGAATCGGACGACAGTGGTGGTGAGTGCATTCTCCTTCCTCGGTGAACACTGCTGGTCACCCTGTTTGATGATCCACCAAACACCATCGGTGCAGGCCGCGTTTTTCGGAACCAGCCATTTGTTCGTTCACCAACAATTGAAATTAATGTTTCTCACTTGAACACTCTGTAGAGCTATCGCTGTCGTGACAAGGCCGTGTAGACTCCAAATCTACATGTAGGATGAAGAGTAACAGTTACTTTTCCTCGTTGGAACAATTAGTAAAGGCCTCTTTTACGGGCAAACAGAATACAATTGACAGTGGCATGGCGAGTGATTAGAACACAACACCAAAAAATGAAAACAATTGTATGTGTGAAAAAAGAGTAACAGTTACTGCTGATAATGAAGTTTGCGCTCGTGGACAATACAACGATCCTTCCTAGATGATATCCCTATTCATTGTTACTTTTTACTACAATGAGTAGTGTTTCTCCGAAAATAAAGTCAGCTGCCATTA